GGTTTAAACTAATACTCTCTCTCTCTCACACACCAACAACACAGCACAACACACAACATACACCACCACACTGATGTGGGACGTTTTGCCAGTCAGCTAGCTTGAGTTATTGATCGGTCCAGACTGACATTTTGATCACCAGGTTGTAGCAATTTCTCTCCAACTCTGCAGCGACTTTCTTTGAAGCTGTATCTTCCCTCGTGTCAACAAGGACTGATGAAGCATCCAGCTGACATTTCCAATGGCCCTGCGACAAATCAACTCACTACACCGCTAAAGAGAGGCCGTGGCAGCGCTCTTACAGAGTATTTTAAATAAGAGAGCTTTTTTGCAACATGAGTACTGATGTGAGGTTTAAAGTCCCATGAAATGGAACCTTTACTTCCTCAATGGGATGTATTTCTTGTTAAAACAGGATGCTGGAATGGGATAACTTAAACCTGTAAACCAGTGGGATATCTTTTAAAGAGAGAAAGGCTCTTCAAATTGATACGGGAGGATTGTAAATGAGTCCCTCCAGTTGCGATCACAACAATGAATGCAAATTAAACCAATCCCTGTGAATTCTGTGCAACCTAGCAATATTGTTTCCGCAAATTTGACCAATAAGCGTAGTTTCCTGTGAGTTTCACCGATCATTGCAGTACCCCAAGCAAAACCCTGAGCCACCAAAGTCACTTGCCTCCGACTTTTCTCCAATTTCATTGCAACATGCGTAACAATTTTTTAAGAAATGCTGCTGTGAAATCAGGCATTTTAGGCCGCAACAATCCCCCAAAAAAGGCTGCATTGGAGGGACTGATAAATGGTTTTATTGCTAAGAATTTTTGTTATTGCTCATGCAAGATGAGACAAAACCTAACGTGCTGACTTGCTCCAACCTGGCAACCAAGAACAATACTGAACCTTAACTCAAACTAAACAAAAACATATTAGAAGTTATTATTGACACGTGAGGGCTAGAGCAAGATAAACCGACTTTGTGGTTTCAATGAAGGATTGTTGTTGAAAAATGTACAAGCCAATCGGGCGTTCTTCAGCTGCTGCCTCATCAGTTCTGGGCATTTGATTTTCCCGCATGTGATCTGCTTTTTTCTTTTAAAGTCGACAACCTGTGAAATGCTTGTAAAGCTGCGCATCCCGTTTACAAATTAATTCCTCACTGCTCTTGTGTCTGTGCGGACATGACTTGATGTTGTCAAGGAACGGCATCAGATAAGTCACTAACTCTTTCCTCTTGTCCTTTTTTCCCCCATCAGAGATTGATGCAGTACCTTGCCTCCAGAAACACGCTCTTCAACCTCAACAACTTTCTAGATAAGGCTGCACTACAAGGTGATTTAATGACATTTGGCTGTTTGTAAACTCAGCAGTGCTGTACGTCTAACAAAATGACTTTATGTCGGACTCTCCCCGGCTCTGTAACACTATCAATAAGCTGGTCCAGGATTGCAAAGCTACAGACAAATGTTCCTTTTGTTTGATACAAGAAGCGGCTGAATGTTACTGAAAATGGAAACACATACTCACTGACTTTGTAATTATATATATTCAAAAGTAAAAATGAACAGATAAATAAATCTGAAGGTGAGATGGTGTGTGGGAGGGGGCGGGGGGCAGATTGCTCATGGAGAGTCCATTTCATGTGAGAGGAAATATGGTTTCTTAACCTGTTTTGAAAATACTCCAAGGTGATCAGTCTCTAACTGCAGCGCCCCCTTTATGCCCCCCAGGGTATAACATGTCAACTTTCATCAGACGCTACAGTCGCTACCTGAATGAAAAAGCCATGTCTTACAGACTAGCAGCAGTGGACTTCACCAAGATGAAGAGAGGGTAACAAACTCCACACACACTACACCGACACACATATATGGAAAGGTATTACGGGCCTTTTTGACCAAAAAAAGATGTGAATATAATTTTTCTTTCTTTCAATAAATGGCAGTTACACTAAATATATTTCTATTTCAATGTTCTACTTCAACTATATAACAAATAGATTTTCTAGCCTATGCTACTTTTGCAGAACAGTTGTTACTACTGCCACAATTATGCACTAATGGGTAAATGATACAAAACGCTAATAATTAAAACGTATAAACAACAGCAAAAGTAGAAAAGAGTCCACTTATAAAGTTTGCCAACTAACATTAGCCACCATAAGCTACTGGTCATACAGATAAGGCTTTTTTTTTTTTTTGCTTATATATGTTATTTCTTCACCCTTTTTCCTTTTAAAGGACATCCTTATACACACACCTTAGTCTCCAGGTCTGATAAGTCCTGTGTGTGTGTGTGTGTGTGTGTGTTTTGCACGCGTGTTTGTGTGCATGTATTCTTGTTTGTTACCAGGGCTGAGGGTGTGATGCGCACCATGAACACAGAGAAGCTGATTAAGACTCTTCCCACCATTCAGAACCAGCTGGATGCACTGCTGGATTTCCAGGTAAACATCTGCCTTAAAGACACAAGGGCGTGCAGCGACATCTTGATCCGATATCAGTGTTTTTATTTTATTTCCTTCTCTCCTTCAGCCTAACTCCAACGAGCTGACCAACGGAGTGATCAACACAGCTTTCATGTTGCTGTTTAAAGACTCCATACGGCTGTTTGCTGCTTACAACGAAGGGGTCATCAACATGCTGGGTAAACCACACACACAACACAGCAGACCCAGAGACAATCGCTATTGAGTCAGTTTTGTATTAATGCTGTAATCTGCCTCTGATGTCGAGATCACAAGACTGTGACTCCACTCAGTTCTCGGTCTTTAAGGGGAAATCAATTTTTTTCTCCGACTGTCTCTAAAAGTCCAATTAAAGACTATAAAGATCACCTTCATTTCTTTCATTAATTATTCAGCCAATGAGGAGTCAGAGGCTGAGAACAGTTCATTAAATGATTCCTTACTTAATGAACCTGATCTGAGGTGCTTCAACCATGGTTATATAGTAACTGGGACTGTACGGGGAATTTATTTCCATATGTGGAGGCCTGTCAGGACAAATCAGATTATGTTTTTAAGCATTTTTTTTTTTAAGGTATACACTTATATATTATTATATTATATTTTTAACATAAATCTTATTAGGTATTTATGTGTATTCTTTTTTCCGATACACAGAGAAATACTTTGACATGAAGAAGAACCAGTGCAAAGAAGCTCTGGAGATCTACAAGACTTTCCTCAACAGGATGACCAAACTGTCCGAGTTTCTCAAAGTGGCAGAGGTAACGTCCGTTTGTCCCACTGCTCCTCCACAGAGGAAACAGAGAGGGCGAGAATATCTGGAGCGAATCTTGACGGTCTCCCTCCTTTCTCCTATGAACATTATATCTCCATGTTCTTTTGTTTCCTCAATAGAATTTAACCTGCAGAGAAAATAAAAAATCCACTTTAACCTGTTGAGATTTGCTCCAGAACTCTGTTTCCCTTTGGGATCTGATTTACGGTCGATATTCCCGAACCGTAGATCAGTGTCCAGGGGCCTTCTTCTCCTTAATCTTCGTCTTTTATTTTTAATTTTTTTTGCCTCTAGATTTTCTCCTGTTTCTGTCCTTCTCTTGCCCTGACCTGGGGAGGGGGTTACTCCAAGACAGTGATTAATGGCTGAGTCTTAGCCTATCTGAGAGCCACTCATGTAGAGCTTCCAGTTGAGGGACCCCTCGCGTGCTGCCTGTTCTCATGCCTGCACTGCATGCCCAAGCAAGCTCTTTTTCTATCACTATCTCTGTCTCCTCTTATTTTATTTCCTCCCTTTTCTTAAAAAATAAATAAATAAAATCTTTATAATGGCTGTTATCCAATTAACAGTTGCAGTCCTTGCTAGGCATCACAGTGAATATAAACAGTTGTATCCTCTGTAGACTGCGTAGCATCTATCTTCAAAGGCTTTTCTCTCTCTGCTTGGTTTCGTTCCCATTTGGAAGAAAGGTTTGGGGTGCAGCCGCTCAATCCAAAGAAAAAAAAACACAAAAAAAAAACCAGACTAACGTTGACTTTAAGGACCCATTCATTTTACCTGTCTAACAAAATGTGTGTTTGTCTGTTTGTGTGTCATCTGTGTCCCTCCCTTGTCTTTCTGTTCAAAGTCAACATTAGTTGTGTGTCTTCCTTTTGGATGTTTCTTACCTCGCAGTCACGTGACCTGTTGTCTGCCCTCTCTGCCCTGCCTGTTCAATCAGTCGGTGTGCTCAGCATTCATTTCAAACCAGTCTCCAGATCTCAGTGTGTGTGTGTACTTATAAGTGTGTGTGTACATATACTGTGTATATATATATATATATATAGGTGTTCGTATGCGTGTGCATGCGCCCTCCTCCCCTCCTCCTCTGTTGTCTTTTATTTGTTTTCCTTTCCAGCCACTGCATGAAGTAATGAATGCTTGGGTTTGATTCTTCTTTCTCCCTCCTCCTCCTCCTCCTCTTCCTCCTTCACACGCCTCTTCCCTTTTTTTAAACTCTGTTGGGTTTTTTGGTTTATTCCTTGTTTTATTATTACATTTGGTTTATTTTTTATTTTGCCTCCCTCCTCCCTCCCCTACCCCTCCTCCTCCTTTTTTGTGACACAGCGAGTTGGGATAGATCAGGGCGACAGCCCCGATCTCACACAGGTCAGTCTACATCTCATCTCAATCAGTCAATCAACCAGTCAACCAGTATTTAAATCCGTCAAGTCAATCCCATAATGCTTCATTCTAAACGCTCCCGTTCCCTACTCACCCTACAGACCTGCCCACACTGCAGCTGCCCCGTCCTCCTCCTCTCTTCTTCACTCTCCTTCGCCTTTTCCACCTTTTTTCTCTCTGAGCAGAGTCTAGAATAGAGAGGAAACAATAAATGAAGCCCTGCAAATAGCCTAATAACAATTTCTAAACATCAGTGCAGGATTTCATTTTTTTCTTATCTGACTCATTGTAGAACAAATTTTACTCTCAGGTAAGATTTTAAGAGCAACATTTATGCGGCTGAATAAAAAATAATTTTTAACCCCTTTTTGCATATTTCTATTTTAGACATCCATGACCGGGGCTTAGTATCTGTCAGAATTTTTCCTGCAGTCTTTCTGGCATTTTCACAGTGTAAATATCAAGGCTTGTCTCTTCATTCAAAGGCTTATCATACAAATAAGTCAGCACAGCTTTATGAAATAGGTTTTTGCTCACATAAGCAGTGTTCAAATCATTTTCCTGAAAAAAGACTATGTCCCTTTGCATTAGCTGTGGGGAGAGCAGCGAATGGTTTTTATTAAGTAGGTTTCTGCAAATATGACTTGGATAGGTGTACATAATGCCATCATAAGTACTGCACATCATGCTAAAGGCCCCAATACAACTTATCCTTTTCAGTGGACACATGATTGGATGTTTACAATGTGACAAATCAGGTAACAAATTGAAAAGAGCTGCCTTTTTAAAAAATTAATGCCATGTTTGTAGTGCTTATGAAGACCTTATATGCCCTTATTCAACAACATAGTGACCCATGCCTATACTGAGCTCTAGATATGTGTCTGTTTTACTTTTAAACTTTTAGCATATTCTAGATTTCTCTGAAGAAGGATATCCAGAATTCGCATTTTACTCTCTTTCCCCCTTAAAATAAGTATATGAGAAATCTTTTCTTTGCTTGTTGTGTTTGCATTGTGCTCTCCGATGCTGAAATGTAAGGCTCTAGATGAAAACCGTGGTATCACATGTGGTCAAAATGAACCCATCCATCCTTTTTGTTTTTCAATAAAGAGTGCTGGCCAGCTGCTCAATGTGTATACCTGGTTTTCACCAGATGTTTACATTTCACTGAGTTAACTTCCTTGGCTTCCAGCGGGGGAAAAAATTTGGTTCTTTTGTTTAGTTGCTGCCTAATTTCTGAAGTAAATTAAATGAATAATATGGTAATTTGACTTTTAACCTAATGTGGAATCCACGAGTTAACTCTTAATTTTGGGACTGATTTTCTTTATGTGTATGCGTGTGTAAGTGTGTGTGTGTGTGTGGACTGGAAGATAGTCCCTTTTTTACGAGGACTGGAAATGTATCCTGTGAAAACGCAGCACTTCTGCTTGCTGATATCAGTTTGAAACATGCAATAAGTTAATCACCAGTGGAACTATTGTATACAGTATTATACATACGCTCGTCCATGCACAATTACACCTGTGTCTACAGTACCTGCATGTCCACACTGGTAGACTGACGTTTGCCTTTGTCAGACCCTTGCCTTTAACACATCCTGGTGTTGCAAACCTCTGAGTATTAAATTCATTACACACTCACATAGAGGCCCCTACCAGGACGGCCTGTGAATGTTCTCTTTTCTGCTCAGTCTATTGGCCATCATGTCTGCTGTGTACATGGAAATGGACGCCAATTAGGGAGTGGACAAACACCAATCTGGGCCTAAGGGCCAGTGGATCATCCTGGAATGAAGGAGAATGAAGCCCTAACCCACAGCTCGCCCTGCCCTGCCCTGTCCCTCTCAGGGCTTGTTATGGGTTAATAATGGGCTCTAAGTGCTTCCCTTTAGGTGTGCTGGAAACAAAGCTAAGTGCTTCTTTATGCGACAGCAGCATGGCTGAGCGGCATATGATGACTTGAAACAAACTCCTCATCCACACTTGAGTGGTCTGCTTCACACATAGGATAAATCTGGCTTGACAAGCTATAACCAATTATATATTAGTAGTTAGAGTTAACCTGAAGTCATCAAGGCTCTCTGACCTGTTTCTCGCTTAAAAATATCATTCAGTCCTTGAGATGTAAAATTAAAAAAAAGCAAAACCATGTCTTTGAATTGTTAAAGAGTAGTTCTACTTTAGTCTCGCTCAAGTCAAGAAGAAAGCATGTTTTTCTGTCCAGCAAAAGCTCTAAATTCACACAAAAGCACACGGAGTGGAAATTTTCAGCCTACATGGGCAGATGTCAGAGCATTGTCAGATCTGCCTGCTCTTGTCCAACACATCATGAAATGTGTACGGATGATTTAAAATGTCTGACTGAGGTGTGTGTTTATGTTGCCAACTCCCCACAGGTAAAGAGGAGTGCTCACCACAGCAGATAGACTAAAAAAAGACACTCTCGTTGTTTTCCTTCTTTCTTTGCAGTGAGGGTTTACAGAAAGAATCCGTAGACTAATCTTGATGTCTGAACAGCTAATCTGTGTGTGGTGTGATTAAGCTGTGCTAGGATGTACGTTTAAGCTGCTTTACGGTGACTCAGTTTAAAGAACTGACTGGAGCCCAAAAGATTTTACTTCCACTGTGCTCTTAGTAAGATAGCTGAGAAGCCTTGGGCTGCCAAACCAGCGCAGAGGAGCATCCATATTCAATACATGTGCCATGCCATGCCATTACTCATTGAAATAGTTTCTCTACTTGTCTTGCACATATACTTTTTTACCTAATGTAATGGTCGCACATAAAATAAGCTGAATAGTAACCTGAAATCCTCCATTGAGTAAATCACTGAAAGTCATGTCTCTTTCTAGAATAATCACATGCATCAGAAGGGATACTTGAGGACAGCAGTCCCACGGGGCGCCCAGATTAATGTTTTCTGACTGGTCAGCTGGTGGGTGATTACACTGAAGGAGAAGGACGTGCTGGATAATCCTCAGAAAAAGCTACACCACGTAACGTCACTGACAACAACAAAGCATGAGAATGTATGTGTGGGTGTTTACAGTAAGTGTGTGCAAGTGTGTGTTTCTAGCCAAGTCTCCAGCCTGGAACCCAGAAGATAAGCTGCAGTGATAATGCCAGCAACAGAGACTGATCCTGGAAGCAAATCAATGCTTAACAGGCTTGGCACAGGGACTGCCCCCCCTTCCTACCCCATATCTAATTTTTTTTCCCCTGCTGCACCATTGCAGCTTAAGAGAAACTGCGATTTAACCAGGAGCCACTAAAAACAATTTGGCTAGACCTCTCCACAAAGTTGAAAACATTTGGTATTTTTTAAGCTGACAGATGCAAGGGATGGTTTTCACCATCTGCACAGTCAATCGCTCACTGTTCTGATTAATCCTCACTCTTTAATGATATAAGCTGCAGAGAGCTGAGGCCAAGGAATAAAAACTAGGACTGTGGTTTTGGGAACTACAGAAGGTTTACTGGTAGCAGATGCAAAGGTTCATGGCTGCAACTGGGAGTTTGGGTACAGGAGCGCGCAGTCACAATGACACAAAAACTTTGAGAAAAACAAAACTAATGCTCCGTTAAAACTTTTTTAAATCTTTGATCACGCTCTTAAATTATGATTACACGCAAGTTAGATACATCTCTGACTTGTGTTTTCAGTGCTGTAACATTAGATTATGGCACATTATTGATTTTGAATTAATAGGCATTTTGATGATTTTTAATGTCACATTTTAAATATCGATTGAGGCCCATCGCAACAGCCAAGGTTGAACAGAGACGAGTGTTCTAGACGGGACTAATAGGAGAGGCTCATGCTGATAGAGAGGCTTGGCAGTCAGTTGTAGTAGAGGGCAAGCATGGGCTGAGGGCGAATGCACAGAGAGACATATATTATTTAATACACAGCCATTACAGAGTGCACGAGGGTACACGCAGTCTCCAGACATAAACCCTGTTTGATTGTGTTAAAATTATCTGCACAGAAACAGTCAATGCTTCCAGCACATCGATTTATATCACACTTGGTCCCAACTCTGAGACAATAAGTCAGACTCATCAGGTCTGCCCTAATTTCTAGCAAGTTTCACCCAGAGGAGGTGTGGCCATGGCTCCTCCTAGTGGTTAATGGCAGTCACTAGGACTGACTAAGTAGTTTTTATCAACAACAAATCTTTACTCCAGGATATTATCTTTTAAAGCCTATTAAAATCTCACCCATAGCTGCTGAAGCATCAGAAACTTGATTTCCCCCAGATATTACAGTGGCTGCAGTGGAGTCCACAGAAAAGTGGATTTGTCTCTAATCTAATTTCACCCGTGATGCAAATAAGCTTAGGTCCCTGGATCCAGGCATCTCTCTTCTCCTCTGGGCAGCTTTAACAGTGCTGCACTTTAGGTACAGCTGGCTCTACATTCACCATTAGTACTGCTGCTTATTATATTAAATATTCAAATCCACTCATCTGCCCCAATTTCTATGATCTGTTTACAGCAAAAATAGATTAGCCTTTGTTGATTTTATTAAAAGAACCTTCAGAAGCACCGTTACCCGTTCATAACACTATTTTTTTTTACAAGCTATAGGTCTCATTTAAGAAAGACAAGCTATAACAAGACATAAGAAATACTGAAAGAGCAACTGTAGTGCAACCTTGCAATGGCCTCATTAACAAAGCCAATTTTCCCAGCAGTTTCACCTCACAGTGTCAGTTCAAAGGACTCGCCCCCACTGCAGTGTGTGTATCAGATGACCCCACTGCAGAGATGGAGATCTCTGAACCCCTGACAAGGCTAAACGGGTGGAACCATCGATATGTGGCAGCCACTGATTCACCAATACTTCATCCATGTGGCTGTCTCCCTTTGAATCAGCACAGAGGCGGCCTGCTCCCTATCTGTCTTTGTGTAGCTCAGTGTTTTCAAGCTGCCCTGTCTGTTCAGGGGGATCTCTCTTCTGTTGAGAGACAGGGATGCTAAATTAGTGATGAACTGAGGAGAACTGCTGCACACCTGAGCAGGGGACAGGAGCTGATTCACATTGTTCTAAAGTGGGAAAAGAGAAAGACAGCCCAAAGATGGAATCTACTGATGCTGAAAAATTCACTACAACTGAGGAGAGAGACATGAAGGGAAAGGGGGAAGTAGAGGCCACTGGGCTAGGAATATTAACAGCCAATTTACACCACTGGCCTCCGGGCGCTTGTTTGCCCCCCCTAAAATGACTCAGTGGTTTCAGGCATACTGAAAGAAACTCTAGTGGAAGCATGTGCACATATGATACCCACTGATACTCACTGGAAAGACAGGCAGGGACACACAGGCATGACTTCAAGAGAGAAAAATGCATTCTTCATAGACTGGCACCTTTCAATTACACACCAAGAAGGCATCACTTAGCCTCAGACATCTGGTAGTCTGTTATAAAGTGGTTATGAAGCTGCATTAATAAAACCACTTCGACATGTTGATCTCTGATTGCTTTCAGTAGGAAAGACTCCGAAGCCGATCCGTCTATGAAACGCAAACACTATTAAAAGATACTATAGTGCACATTGAATTCTGCTGTCAAACCAACACCTTGTCCCACCGGTTGGCTCACAACTATACTACGCATCTATTCTTGTACTTCCTTTTGCTGCTGCAGCGCTTCAGTTTCCCTGCATGGGATCAATAAAGTTTATCTTATCTTAACTTCCTCTTGACAAGACACACGTGATGTCCCAGTCAAATTAACAGATCAAATCTAGCCACTTCATCAGTTCACACAACATTATTTTTGAACAAATTAACAACAACAACAACAACAGAAAATGTGTTGATTCTATTTGGTCATTTATCCCACACATGACTTTGGATACATGATTAGAAATTCAAGGAGCTGCTTGCATATACATTTAGTTTCATACTATATAGGACACAAAAATATCATATTTGTTTTATGGCTACTGGTCATACTGGTGTAACTGGTGATATGTGTGATTTATTGACATTTTACAAACTTTAGTTAGTTTAGTTTATAGAAAAAATAACTGATTGACAAATGATAAACACCGACTTCCAAACAATCAAAATAGTCCCATTAAAAGAACAAACTACACCCACAAAGATGTGTAAGATAATGCTGCATCATTATCACATAAATAGACAAAAAGGCACTTTGATAGTCAGTAGAAGACTGAGTGCACAGTCCCAAGCTTCCTCACTTAAGAGTCTTTGTCCTATTATTGTGTGCTTTGAAGAGTAGCAGTCTCTCTGCGGAGTGGCTGTGTGACTGCATCCTGGCTGCTATAAAAAGGCCACTCCTGCACAGACATCGAAGAGAACAGAATAGTGCAGACACTGAGTGGTGCTGCACTTAGTAAGTCCGTCTGTCTGTGTATGTACTTCAAGCAAGGGAGGGTTACTTTTAACATGTGCCAGCCAGGAATTGAAAATATGTTCCATTTCCCAAAAGCTTGCACCTTCTACGTGTCGTAGCTCACCATGATGGCGTGAGGAAGTTAGCTCTGGGACATCAGCGGAAACTACGAAGGTTACGCCGGCAGTTTTACTTCTATGCATCACATGTAAAAGGACACGGGTGAGAACAAAGCCGACAGACACACGTCAACCGTCAAGTCACGCTCAGGATGACACAAACACACAGGAAGAAAAGTAGGGAAAACCATGTGTGAGGGCTTTCTTTGATGACCACACTGGAGTATTAAGAAAAGCTGTGCATGAGTAAAATTCATTAGAACGGCAAGGATGATATTATGCACGCCACCTAGCAGACATCATGTCACCACCATTACTTACAAGCCCTGATCTTCCACTGAGAGACCCAGCCTAAGAGGAGAAGACTGGGAGGAAGGAGGAAGGCTATGTAGGGCACGGAGGGGTTACTTCTGGGCTACCTCTCCATGACTCACAGAGCAGATAACAATATCAATGAATAGCTATTGCTCTGAGGCAGGAACATGGGTGATGGGAGGTATTACCACACCTCTGCTGTGTGGGCGTCTTTTTATTTATTTATATATATATATTTATATATATATATGCCTGTTAACCCACAGTATTCCTGTAATACATAAGTCACCTAATGCATTCCCTGATCCTATGAGAGGATAGACGTCTGGGTATTAAAATATAATCACGCAAGAGAAGCTTTAAACTTTGATGTTTGCATGGTGACAGAAGGTGGCTTAAATAATTCACACAGATTTCCCACCGGATCAAACTGTGCAGTCAGCTTGCTGAGTGTGTTGTAACAGGAGACATCATCAGACAGAGGATGCAAGTGAGCATGTGAAAACCACTAGGTATTGTAATGTGAGCCCTGTGGTGGCTGCTATAGTGAGTTAATGGGGTGGAATTGCTGCTCAACCTCCGGAGGCAAGAATCACTGTTTACCAACCCAAGTATCACACTGTGAGGGCTTTAGAGGAAGACACAACTGGGTAACCTCCAGTCATGACCCCCTTAGGCTGAGCAGACCCCTTCCTCTTCCCAAAAAACATGTCTTTCCTTTGGGGGATCGTTAGGTCACATGCAGCACACACACACACACACACAATGCTCCAACATGCTGCTGTATCGGTGTCAAATCTGAGCCATTCGCTTATTCGCCTCCTGAATTAACAGCCTCCTGTCCGCATACACAAGACAATGGACAAATGATCGCACACGGTAAAATGGATGAGACATGGAAAGCTAAGGTTGGTAGGCATGCCTATTTCCGCTAACGCGTCGTTGTCAAACTAGCATGGACTCTGCTAGCGAACACATCTCCCCGAACAAACGCTTCACGGTCACCCACACCTCCGTGCACTGACGCGGTTCTCTCGTTACCTGAATGCTGCGTGAATATGTTGATCCCTGGGTCGGGCACGTTGACTGCAGCAGCCCTGCCTGGCGGTGTCCCGGTGCTACTGCCGGGTTCTCGGGGTCTCCTCCCGGCGCCGCTCCCCCGGTTCCCCTTCCCTTGGTGCGGCTGGGACGCGTGGGGCTGTGGTGGCTGGAGTCCGGTCGATGTGCTCTCACCGACGCGGCCTACCTGCTGTCCCATCCCGGTGGTTTGGCGTAAGGACGTTTGGGACGAAGCGAGCAAACCCCCTGCGCACCTCTGGTTCACATTCCCCCAAAGCTGGAGCGGCCCGGCCCGAATAGTCTTCCTCAATCCCCTCCCCGCTCTTCTTCACCGAGCTAACTAGCCCGTATTAGCTCGCCTGGCTAGCCTGTTAGCTACCGTTAGCAGTTATCAGTGAAACCCACCCACCCTACCTTTAACAATAAAATCACAACCCCGGCGTGTGACAGCGATTGTCTCTATTCCGGTGATCCAGGTGGTATCCGAGCAGATATTGACGGTACCCGACGAGCGAAATTCGGTCCAATCTGGAGCTTTTCAGGATCGTTTTGCCGTTGTCCGGCCGCTACGCGCCCCCTCTGACGCCGCCATCTTTACCGCAGAATAGAAGATGTGTTGCACAAGACGGGGGGGTCGATCCCCTGTCACCCTGATCCTCCACCTCTCCAGCACCAACACTAACCGGGTCCCAACACTTCCCGAGCATCGGTTCCAGCAGGCGGGGGGCTGATGTGGGTTGATCCCCCTCACAGTCCTTAGGGGGGGGAGGAAAAAAAAAAAATCACAGAAAATCTTAAAACACCACCATCAGCTATTGTTTAATCAAGAAAATGCAGTGTGGTCATATAGAATGAGTGCTTTAATAGTAATTCACTGTACTATGACACTATAACTAATATAGTATGGCCTGTATAGGTCTGTGATTATTTAAATAATATAAAACTACAGAAATCAAAGTTATTTTAAAAAATATACCAACTCTGCAGATGTCAGACAGGCTTCAGTAGCTGATGAATCAATGTAAATCCCCTATGTATGGTAAAGTGCAATAAATAATTAAAATTCTATTGATTGTAAATTTTATACAATCTGTACATATTTCAGTAGACTGTATTATTCCTTATCAGTACTTAACTCAGGTATATTATCTGATTATGTGCAAATCAACTCTAAATAAGGAGTACTTCAATACTATTTAACTGGCACTTTCACCATTACATACAACACATACATAAATAAATAAAGATGAATGACAGAGGTAAAGAGCATACATCATGTTTTATTCTCAATAGCTCTTATAATTTGATGTGTCTTTAAAGAATATATTTGTCTACATCCAAAAATAGAACAACATACTGATTCATTAAATGATCACCAGACACAATGAGCTATTCAAGGCAAGAAAAAAAAGAGATCACAATCAACACAAATATGACTGTAAGTAAGTAGGCAATGCTCAGCTCCCAAAAATAAATATTTCATCTAAATAAACAGCATTTCTGCAGCTTGGCTCTTTTCACTACCATAAATATTATCCTTGTTAACAAAATCTCGGAGGCATAAAGCACAATTAAAGCTTCAGCCAAATGTGGACTTCTCAAGAGTTACTTATTATACTACAGGGAATCCCAATATTTCTCTATTACCTGTACATATTATAAAAATAAATTGCTGGTACTTGTGTTTGTTAATAAAAAAATCGTATGGGTTGCCTGGACTCTCCAGCTCCTGACCACAATTAACAGCCAAATTGAGCAGAGGAAGGATCAAAAGTAAAAGCTGTTAATACAGTGCCACCTTGTGGTCATACAGTTTTTGAAAGTGCAGAATTTTCCATTGCTGGTTTTTTACTTTGTATTGTGCATCTCATTATTCACATAGTCTCCCTGGATTGGAATATGTGAGAATTGGCAACATTTACTGTGCATTAACTTTGTGATTTCTTCAACAACAAAAATACAAATGTGTAAACACATTATTTCAAGACCACAAGAACTATAAGCACACTGTGTATAAACATTCCTTATTCTATTAGTTTGACACGGAAATCACTGTACTGTAAAATGTATACTTGTGTGCTTTCAACAACAAAACACTGTCTCATTTAATCTACCCAGTGTCTGACAAAGCAAACTGTAGCCCTTAGTACTAATCAAGTATCATCACTAATTCAGTGTTATAACATTCAAGCAGCCAGCTGCAACAGTTACAGTAGTAGTTATTTTGTAGTATTTCACCTTTACACAACTTTCAACATTGGTAATGAATAAAATAAAACATAATTTAGGTTCGCAAGAAATATTCTCCATAACTGAAAATATTCAAAGCATCAAGAATACATTCAGCAGTCACAGAATACATTAACTCCTTACAGCAGGATCGTCACCTCTAATTTGTTTAGCATTTTGTTTGATGGAGTTTAGTGTCGTGATTTTTAAAGAGTGCCCCACCTCCTTGTGGACTGACAGCTGGAGAACAAGAGAAAAGTGAGTATTAAACTAGTTTTTGGGAAACATTGTACATATGTAACACAATCTTTCTAAGCTCTGCATCACAGTTTCAGATTTACTATAAAATTATTTCCCAACTATATCAGCATGTCAAAAGCCACCTTCATTTTGCTCTTCAGAGAAGTTGACCGCAATCTTTAAGTTATAATACAGAGTTCTTCATAGATTTATACAAAACACCAAACAGTAGCCATTTTTCAAAATAAATCTTACTGGCAGTGAACATAAATAACATTTAAAGTCTTTCCAAACAACATATTAAATGTTATTTATAATAGAATAGTAGTTGCAAACTTTGTTAAATATGAACTATTACTGCATATGTGAATGATGTTTGTATTCAGCTGCCATATCATGATTGCCACTATCACATTGGCACAAGGAGTGGTTTCACAGTTGATCAAGGCAAAACGTAATGGGAATGCAACTGTAAATTAAATAGTACATAAAAATAAGAGTTCACATGTGGTCTTATGTGAACTTGTAATTTTGTTGGGTTTGTTTTTGAAAACATAAAATGGGTAAGTAAGGCATCATTTTGACTTTGCTGTTAGAGTAAAGACCTTAGTGCAATAAACTAAAACGTGAAAGACCAGAAGTTAAGACAGTAACAGAAAGGCCGGTCCAATTTAAACTGATGGGTGATGGTCCTCGGCAGTGGTCCAAACGTAGATCACAGCCTATCAGAATCCACCATCGGCCCTCTCTGACAGCTCCAGGAGCGGGGCTTCAGTAACTCAAAGAATGAAGGCTGAAATAATAATAAAAAAAACATCACATGAAGCAAGATGTGTGTCTGTGCTGAAGGAAGAGCAATATTTCACCAGGCTGCACAAAGCAATGCTGCAGGTGTTACCTCTTTCAGGGGGCAGTAGCGCTGGGCATACCACTCCTGGGAGTACAGACAGATAATGACTCCCTGACCCAGGAAGAGGGATGTCCACATGATTATGTTCCAGATGGGACCTTTCCTTTGGTCATGCAGAATGAAGTTGAACATCACTGTGAGAGGGTGGAAGCATATTGAAAAGATCAATGCAGAGAGACATATCTTAATTGGTTGTTCAATAGCTCAGACCGAAATAGAGACTTATTGGGTTTATGGATTTTCAAGCAGTCCTGGGTGAATCCTTGTAAACAATGCAATAAAAAGCAACGTGGTGTGAAAATAGTGAGGAGCACTAAGCTCTTTTCTCTTACTTCCAAAGCACATGAAGAGGCAGAAGAGCACGGGATAGAAGAAACCGAAGCAGATAGCAAGAATGTACTCGTGGACCACAGCAGATACTGTAAACACAAACAGCATGGCTGCTGGTCTGCAACGCTTCTGAGACATCTGGAAAGACAACAGCATGGAGAACAGACAAATCAAAACGACAGTGGTGTAAAGGTTTAATCTGATCCATACAATTTTATATTAGCAATAGCCTGGAAAATGTGTTTAACTTCTTCTGTCGTCGGAAATAGTCAATAAAACCGTACCTGACCTAACACACAATGCAGCTGGTTAAGAAGAATTGTATCAAAAGCAAAACCACTCACCCACAGGAAGTCCCGGTACACATAGTAGTACAGCCAGTCATGGACCACGACGTTCCAAGTGCGATAGTAATTGGCAAAAGAGGTCGAATTCCACCAATCCTGTGATGTGTAATCAAAATGAATTAAGTCAAGTCTAAAGTAGAACATAAGAAGTTATTTTAAATGCTGCTATAGTTGGCAGTAACAGTAGAAGTACCTTGTAAAACATCCTGTCAGCAAAGCGGAGCATCTCAGCAAAAGCATTAAGCCAACAGTGAAGGAAGGCAAAGAATGCCAGGAAGAGAACCAACACTCCTGTAAATGAAAAAACACAGACAATGTATTACTACTGCATCCCTAGTTGACACTGAGTGAAACCAGGTGGTGTATGAAAGGGTATTTGTTCATAAGGCTCCACAAACTAGTGGCCAATCTCACCTGGCAAGATGGAGTTAAAGACACAGAGGACCATGGCCCTTAGGTCAAACAGCTGCAGACTGATGCTGTGGAACTGAGGGATGCACAGCCGCACAAACACGTAATAGGCATAAAACAGACTGCCTAGTACCTGCGGGGTGGGATCGGTTGAAACTGTCAGAAAAATGGGCTTTTGTTTGCAATCTTAAGTAAGGTCAGGATTAAAATGTCAAAGAGGTTGGTACCTGAAGTAACTTTGTGGCCACATAACCCCACCTGATCACTGGGTTCCTGCATGAATGAGAAACAAGGTTTTTACAAAACACATGAACTACTGCATTGGGGAAAAAAAAAAAAACACAAAACAATGAGAGGGTTGGCTTACCTGGGGTATTTGTCTCTGTAGATGAGTGTGGGTGCAAACAGAAAGTAGAGATACTGAGAAACCTGAGGGACCACTGGACTGGGGCCTATAGATGACAGGAGAGACTGCTTATCAACATAAAGACTAAATGAAAAGGGAACACAGTAGCTATGAGAGAGAGGAAAAAAAGAAGGAAAAAGACATGTAGATGGATAGATACATACTGCTCTTGTCTTTAGCCCAGTTGAGGACTATTGGTACATTCTCCCTGACAAAGGAGTGGGCTTTCATCATGAGACGCACCTGGAGTTAGACAAATAATAGAACAGACACAGCAGCTATTACAACTTTTCCCCCACAGTCAATTCGAGAAGTGAAGACAAGTTTATAAAAAGCACATTATAAAAAGGTCTTTGAAAGCATTTTACATACGGCCATAAATACAACATAATACAACACACTAACTGTGGGTGTGGTCCCACTGATCAAACTGAGCGTTCACTGGTCATCTACCTGTTCCAGGATGATGATGAAGCAGGATGCAGGTGGCAAACTGTTGGTCACCACCACATATGTAGGCAGGAAACCCACACACAGGGCCTGGAAGAGCAGGAACACAGAGCCAAAAAGCAAACTGAACAACCTGGGGTGACTATAAGACCCAGACTGGGTCTGTGACCAGAGGTGGAACAGGGTGAAGGGAACCAGCAACACAGACAGGAACATGCAGATCCATGTGCACACCACCAGAGGGAACTGTCCAAACGCATAGACCAGTAGGTCAAAGTCCAGCACCAGTCTGAAGCAACAGAGACAAAGCAGAGATGAGAAACTTGAAGTAAGTTCAAACGTGACAGCAATTCATTACTTCAACAAAAGCTGAACAAAACAAACAAGATGGTGATTTGTCAAGTTAAGTGACTTAATAGACAAGGTGACAAAATCTTTAAGGTATTATACATAGCAGTCGTCTACATTACCTGCCTTCGTCAATGAAATCTACCACCAGTGTACTGAGGATAAAGAGAATGAGCACGGCAATAAACATGTGGTAGATGGTCCTGATGTGGTTCACCTCAAACAGCTCACTGCAGGAAAACAGACAGCAGGTGATAGAATCTGCACAGCTACGCTGACGTCAAACACTTGAATAAACAGATGCTGCAATGCACTTCAGTCTTCAGATATAAAATATTTACAGTTCTGTTACATCAATGTGTCAACTTACTCTAGGAGGGACCTGCGACTGACAAAGTGCTTGCCCTGGCCATGGGGAGGCCGAAAATGCCTGAAGGAAAACAAAGGGTGACATCAGTGACCAGCAAATACATTTTTGGTTGGAGAAAAAGAAGGCAAAAAAATGGAAAAAGTTGAAAGGCGCCACCTGAGTTTGCTCCTCTCCTTGTCTGACAGCGGAGGTGAGAAGACAGCAGGTACGGGTGCAGGCTCCAGGCTGGCCGACTCCTCGATAAGACTGTCCATGAAGTTGTTAACCTGACTGTCAAACTGACGCATCAGGTCACTCTTCAGGTACTGAGCGATAGCAAAAGAAGCAGCAGGAGTTATCATTCACAGTCTGTAAATACTTGAACAAATGTGGTGTATTTATGTGGCAATAATGATTCCTTCTGAATATGCAAAGAGGTTTGTAGCAAAGTTTTGGTGTTAAAAGGTGAGAAGATTCATAGTTACTTTTCATAGACTTTGGTTTTCATTTTATGACGCTGCTCGAGAGAGAAGAGAAGTGGACTAAATCAAATTATTGATGAGCAGCATTTGTTCTGGATAAGAGCATTAGCTCAATAGGTTAA